AAACTATCCATACCAACTTTGTAAATGTCTGACAAATAGTTACCCCAGACAAGCAAATATTCCATCAAGAAAAAGTTTTCAAAACGGTTGCAAATATTTGAAGCATTTTTACTCACCCTTGCCCTGTGCCATACCCAATGCAGACACAATATCTGACCCTTCCTTCTCTCTTTGAACTGGCAAGAACAGAGTAGAGCTTAATTGCACATCATTGTGAAAGACTGTTCAACCCAGAGGAATGCCTAAAGAACAGAAACAAAGCGATTATCTCTATTGTGCATTGCTCACAAAGCAGACAAGAAATCAAGGGAGATGCTATTCACATAAGCTAAAGCCAACTACAGGTGCCAAGGAAGGGATTCCAGGAGGAAACCTTCAATAGAGCATCTAACAGCTAAAGGCGAAGCTGAGGCGAGACTTTGAGAAAGTAGGACATTGGAAGCAGCCACATAAATAAGGGCATATAGAAAGACGTGGAAAGATTCGGGCACACATGCTCAGACGAGTACTGACAAGACCCTAAGCTCTCACTTAGAGCTGATCCCTGGCCTCAGATGAAGCCTGGCTGAGAGGGAAAGTAGTGCTCAAGCACAGAGCCATTCTACAGGTAATGTTTGCTCTTTTTTGTTTTCTGCTTTGTCAACTCCTGGCATTCAAGAAAATCTCTGTGCAAACATAACCTGAACTTGAGCTAAAGGAATAAACTTAAAAGCTTTAAGTTTTTCAATCAGTAATAGACTTTACAAAAAGAAGTTTGGAAAAATCTCAAAAGAAAAAGACTGTTACAATCTTCAACTAAAACATACAAATATAGATAGAGATGTAGATAGATTACATAGATAGAAGATAGATAAATAGATAGACAGATAAAACTGTGATATGGGGGAGTTTTATTTCCAGAGTTACCACATTATAACAGTTAAGTGCCCAAAGAATTCATAAATCAATGAGAAAACATGGCTAATAAAAAGCAACAAAGAAGTAGACAGAAATTATCCCTAAAAAGGCTTAGAAATCTGTGCTGATAAACAGAGATTTTACATTATTTGCCTTAGACATTCCTAAAGAGTTAAGGGAAAACATGGAAAAGAACTGAAGGGGGCCGGCACCGTGGCTCACTTGGTTAATCCTCCACCTGCAGCGCCCCCATCCCATATGGGCACTGGGTTCTAGTCCCGGTTGCTCCTCTTCCAGTCCAGCTCTCTGCTGTGGCCCAGGAGAGCAGTGGAGGATGGCCCAAGTGCTTGGGCCCTGCACCCACATGGAAGACCAGGAGAAGCACCTGGCTCTTTGCTTTGGATCAGCGTAGCTCTGACTTTAGTGGTCATTTGGGGAGTGAACCAATGGAAGGAAGACCTTTCTCTCCGTCTCTCTCACTGTCTAACTCTGTTAAAAAAAAAAAAAAAAAAAAAAGAACTGAAGAATGTCAGGGAAACAATATATGAAAAAAATGAAAATGCAACAAAGAGATAAAAATAATAAAAAGAAACAAAAAGAAATTCTGGAAATGAAAAGGACAGTATCAGAACAATAAAATATCCATTAGAGGATTTTACAGATTCATTAGAGGACTTAAACAGACAGAAAAAGAATTCATGAATCTGAAGAAAGAAAAATTAAAATAGATCATTAGAAACAGAAAGAAAAATGACTAGAGAAACATGAACTGGACTCATAGGACACCATAGAGAAAAAGACCACATACATATTTCGAGACTTCCAGAAAGAGATAGAAATATTATTTGGGGAAATAGTCATTGAAGATGTCCCAAATTGAAGAAAAATGTGAATTTAAAAGTCAAAGAAACCCAATAAACTCCAACTAGGTTAAATTTAAAAATGTCAACAGTGAAATCTGTCACAATCAATGATATCAAAAGGTGAAGGAAAAGAGAAAATAATGAAAGCAGCAAGACAAAAGCAACTCATGCATAAAAGGGATTGTCAAATTATCAGCAGATTCCTCATCAACAACCTTGGAGATCAGAAGATAGTTGGATTATATTGTGTAATTAAAGTGGAAAAAATTAAAAAATATATTTTAACTGAGTCTCTTTATCAAGGCAAAATATCCTTTAAAAATGAAGAAGAGAGAAGGGAACTGTGGCACAGCGGGTTAGGCCACCACTTGAGATGCCCATACAGCATATCAGAGTGACCTGGTTTGAATCCCCACTACTCTACTTCAGATCTAACTTTCTGTTAATGTGCCTGGGAAGGTATCACATGATGGTTCAAGTACCTGTCACCCACAAGGGAGAATCCCTGCCACCCACATAGGAGACCTGGGTGAGTTCCAATATCTTGATTTTGGCTTGGCCCGCCCTGACTATTGTGCATTCAATAAGTGAATCAGCAGATTGAAGATACCTTTCTCTCGTCTCTCATCTCTCTCTCTCTCTCTCTCTCTCTCTGAGTGTATGTGTTTGTGATTTTGTGTGTGTGTGTATGTGTCACTGTGTCTTTTTAATGTAACAATTTAAAAAATCTAACGAATTTATTAACACATTAGATTCTCAAGGTCACAGCGAATGCTTGATAACAAGTACAGCACAATTCTCATGTAAATATGATATGTCATCCTGCCACTTATGTAAGTACGTAAATGAATAAATTAATGTTTTTAAATGAGGAATAAATTAAGACATCTGCAGGAATTAAAAGCTGAGGGACTTCAATACTGATAGAATTAACCTGTAAGAAATGCTAAAGAAAATCTTTCAAATTGAAATAAAAGGATCCTACATAGTAATTTAAGTTATATGAAGATATACAATTCCACAGTAAAATAAATACAAAAGGCAGACATATAAACGCATATTACTGTAATTTTATTTTTAAATCCACTCTAATTTTCTATATAATTTAAAACACAAATGTAAAAAAAATCATTATAAAGCAATGCTATTGGGAATAAATGTATTAAGATGTAATTTTAAACAGAGGGACAGAGCTAAAGTAGACCCTTATAACTTTATTATGTTTTGTTTAATCTCATGTTAATCAGAGAGAAATAATTGCAAGTTAATAAATGAATTCAATAAAGTTGCAAGATATAAAATGAGCACTCAAAACTCAGTTGTGTTTTACATCACAATGTTCTATCTAAACAGGAGAAAAACCAAGCATTTGAAATAGAATAAAAAGTAATAAAATAGGAAAAATTAACAAATGAAGCAAGAGACTTGTACACATAAAATTTCACAGCTTTGCTGAAAAAAATTACCAAAGGTAGAACTAAATAACCAATCATCCCATGTTCATGGATTGTAAGGCATAATACTATCAAGATGATATTTCTCAAAGCTATCTAAAGGTCATTAGAATCTCCATAAAACTCAGCTGGCACTTTAGCATAAATAGAAAACCTTATCTTAATACGTATTTGGAGTCTCAAGTGATACCCAATTGAAAAAACAGTCATAAAAAAAAGAATAAAGGAGAAAGGCTTAATTTACAAACTTATTTCAAGGCTACAGTAATGAAAAGGGAATGGGAAAGCCAGAAATATTGACCAAATAAATAGAAAAAAAGAGTCCAGAAACAAACTTTCACTTATGTTGTCAAATGAGTTTGAATAAGTGTGTCTCAGCAAATCAAAAAGAAAAAGGCAATGATTCTAACAAATAGTCCTGCAGAAACGGGACATCCATGACAAAAGATTTAAAATCAACCATTACCTTCTACCTTACACAAAAATTAACTGAAAGCTAATCAAAGGCATAACAGAAAGAATGAAAATATTAAACCCATAGAAGAATATATTTGATAAATAATTTTATTTGATGGGATTTAGCAATGCTTTCATTGATATGCCCCACAAAGCACAGGAAATAATATGAAAAATAGACAAATGAAGCCCATTAAAAATGTGTTTCATCAAAGGAAGCTATTAAAAAAGTAAAAGGGCAAACCTTCAAATGCAAGAAAATATTTATAAAGTATATATGTAATGAAGGATAGTATCCAGAATGTATAAAGAACCCAAACAATAAATGAATAACAATAACAAAATATAATTTTAAATGAACAAAATTCTTGAGTAGACATTACTCCAAACAAAATATATACATGGCCAATCAACAAGTGAAAAGATAGTAACCTTAAGTCATTAGTGAAGTGTAATTAGAAACCACATTGAGATACTAGTTCAAACATATTAGAATCACTGCTATAAGCCGGCGCTGTGGCTCATAAGCTAATCCTCCGCCTGCATCTCCAGCACAACCGGTTCTAGTCCCCGTCAGGGCGCCGGATTCTGTCCCGGTTGCCCCTCTTCCAGGCCAGCTCTCTGCTGTGGCCCAGGAGGGCAGTGGAGGATGGCCCAAGTCCTTGGGCCCCGCACCCCATGGGAGACCAGGAGAAGCACCCGGCTCCTGGCTTTGGATCAGCGCAGTGCGCTGGCCACAGTGCACCGGCCGCAGCAGTCATTGGAGGGTGAACCAATGGCAAAGGAAGACCTTTCTCCCTGTCTCTCTCTCACACGGTCCACTCTGCCTGTCCAAAAAAAAAAAAAAAAAAAAAAAAGAATCAGTGCTATAAAAATGCAAAATAACAACTACAAGTGAAGATGTGGAAGCAATGTCTCCTTTTCTGGAGGACTAAAAATGAGTGTAACTGCTGTGGAAAATAGTTTAGCAGTCAAAGTTGAATGTAGATTTCTAACACATTCTGCTAGTTACATTTCTCAGCAAATACCAAAAGAATTAGTAACAAAGACCCAAATACCTGTACATCAATGTTCACATTAGAATTATTTACAATAGCCTCAAGATAGAAAGAAATTTAATATCTAACAATAGTAAGTGAACAAATAAAATTTGGTATCTAGTTACAATAGAACATAAAATAATTTAGCCTTAAAAAGCCCATGAGAGTATTTCAGGCATGGAAAGCCAAGACACTCTGGCAAAAAAAAAAAAAACACAAACCTAAATGAATGAAAGATCTCTGTGAGTGAGATCCCAGTGGAAAGAATGGGCCATCAAAGAAGGAGGTACCTTTCTCTGAAGGGAGGCGAGAACGTCCACTGTGAATATGGCCTTGTCTAAATAAGATCGAAGTTGGTGTACTCAAGAGGATTTTATATCCTTGGCAACTCATGACAAGAGCCTTGGGTGATTACTGACATCATAAATAAGAGTCAATAAGAATGTCAATTGTTAGGTCAACAACAGGAGTCACTGTGCACTTACTCCCCATGTAGGATCTCTGTCCTCAATGTGTTGTTCAATGTGAATTAATGCTATAACTAGTACTCAAACAGTACTTTACACTTTGTGTTTCTGTGTGGGTGGAAACTGTTGAAATCTTTATTTAGTATATACTAAGTTGATCTTCTGTATATATAGTTGAAAATGAATCTTGATGTAAATGGGATGGGGAGAAAGAGTGGGAGATGGGATGATTGCTGGTGGGAGGGAGGTTATGGGGGGGAAAAGCCACTATAATCCAAAACTTGTACTTTGGAAATTTATATTTATTAAATAAAAGTTTAAAAATATGAAAAACAAAAAAATAGATGAAAGACCTAAATCTACAACCTGATGCCATCAAAGTACTAGAGAACATTGGGGGAAACTCTGCAAGACATGGCATAGGCTAAGACTTCTTGGAAAAGACCTCAGAAGCACAGGCTATCAAAAGTTAAATTGACAAATGGGATAACTTCAAGCTGAAAAGCTTCTGTACTATAAAATAAGCACTCAGCAAAGAGAAGGAGAAAGTATTTGCAAACTACACAACTAATAAAGCGTTAATATCCAGAAATTATACATAACTGAAGACAGCCATCAACAACAAAATAAACAATCCAGTTAAGAAATGGACGAAGGACTTGAATGGGCTTTTTTCAAGAGAGGAATTTCAAATGGCTAAGACACTTGAAAAAATGCTCACAATCACTAGCCATCAGGAAAATGCAAATGCAAAGCACAATGAGGTTTCACCTCACCCGCTTTAGCATGGCTTTCATACAGAAATAAAAGAAAACAAGTGCTGCTGAGGGTGTGGGGGAACAGGCAGCCTAATCTGCTGTTGGTGGGAATGTAACCTGGTGCAGCCACTGTGGAAGACAGTAGGGAGATACCTCAGAAGTCTGACTGTAGACCTACCACATTATCCAGCCATGCCACTCCTGGGAATTTGTACAAACCAAATGAAATCAGCATATGAAAGTGTTACCTGTACCCCATGTTCATTGCAACTCAATTCACAATAGCTAAGGTATTGAATCAACCCAGATGTCCATCAACTGGACAAAGAAATTATGGTATGTATATACTATAGAGTACTACTCAGCTGTAAAAAAAAAAAAAATGAAATCTTATCTTTAGCAACAAAATAGATACAACTGGAAGCCATTATATTAGTGAAATAAGCCAGTCCCCAAAAGATAGATACCATATGATTTCCCTGATCAGAAGGAACTAATAGAGTACCCAAAATGTAATGTATTGGAGTGAAATAGACATTTTGAGATTCAATGATTTTTTATAGCTCTTGTCTTTTCTGTTGAGAAACAGTGGTTTTTTTTATACTATTTTTGAACACTTTTACTTAGTGTAGAGTTAATTTTATGATCATCAAGTAAGCTGAAAGTAGATCTTTGTAAGTTAAGAGTGGGAATTGGAAAGGAAAAAGGGTTGGAACATGGGTGAGAGGGAATGTAGGGTGGAAAGTATCCCTATGTTTCTAAGTATATGAAGTACATACAACTTGTATAACTTAAATAAAATTAAAAAGAAGAAAGTACATACCAGATTGGTTAATAGCACATGCACACACACATAATATGTATTTCAAAAACAATTGTAAATATTTTTGTAAAGCTATATAAATAAATTGCTACCCATAGTGCTAAAACAAGCAATGCAAAACACTTACGTGTGTGTGTGTTGTCGCTCCCCCTCTTTGTGGAGGAACGACACAGGACCCTGCATTGTTCTTTCGTCCCTCCTAGGTTTCCTATCCGAGGCCCGGCACCATTATGTCGCTCCCCCTCTTCGCGGAGGAAGGACACAGGGCCCTGCGCTGTTCTTTTGTCTGCTCGGCCCTCCCCGGGTTTGCTGCTGGTTCTTCCCGGGTTGGCTACCGTCCCTTCCACCTCCGTGGAAGGGCGGTTCCCCCTGCCACTTTCCCCACTTCCGTGGGGGAGCGGCACACCGCCGGCCGGCTCTCTCAGGGGCTGCTCAGGTGTTCCTCATAGATGTTCCTGGTGCATGTTGTCTCTCTCTTCCTTTATAGTCCTCTTCCACCAATCCCAACTCTGCTACCCACATGCCGAGTACGCTGCTCTCCTCCCATCAGGAGCAGGTCCTACAGTTTATTGGTTGAACTGGAGGCAGCTGTGTAGAAGCTGTTACTCCCTTCTCAGCGCCATATTGTGGGAGAGCAGATGCATAGAATAAGTCTTAATTCCAGTAACAGTCTAGTCCGAGTTGCTCCCCACAGTGTGTAAGAGATTTTTTAAAATCAACTCATTTGAAAGTCAAAGAGAGACAGACTTAAGCTGGACCAGGCTGAATCTGAGAGCCAGAAATTCAGTCCAGGTGGCAGGAATACAACTAATCTCCTGCCTCCCAGGATGTACATGAGCAGAAAGCTGCAATTAGGATCAGAGCTGGACTTGAATATGGAACCAAATGGGTTGCTATTCATTTCAAACGGCATCTCAACTGGTATACCAAATGCCTGTAGATTTTGAAGCTTTTGTGATCTCAAGAGCCAATTTATTTTTTGTTTTGTTTTTAAGAATTTTTTTTAATTTAGTTGAAAGACACAAGGACAGAGAGGCAGAGACAGAGAGAAACAGAGTGGTTCAATGCCCACATGAAGCCACCACAGTCAGGACTGCACCAGCTCAAAGCCAGGAGCCAGGCACTCTCTCCAGGTCTCCCACATGCGTGACAAGAGCCCAAGCATTGGGCCCTCTTCCGCTGCTTGCCCAGGTAGCATAAGCAGGGAGCTGGATCTGAAGAGGAGCAACCAGGATTTGAACAAGTACTCTAATACAGGATCCAGCACTGTAAGCAGCCATTTAATCCAGTGTGCCACGATGCCAGCCCGAGCCCATTTCTTAAAATAAGTACATATACATACGAGTATTTCATAAAACTCATGGGAAAAGTTTTGAATTCCATTCAGAGGTTTCTTTTTTTAAAGATTTATTTATTTATTTGAAAGGTATAGTTATAGAGAGAGCGAGAGCAAGAGCGAGAGCCAGAGAGAGAAAGTGAGAGAGAGAGAGAGATCTTTCATCTGCTGGTTCACTCTTCAAATGGCCAAAGCAGCCCAGACTAGGCCAGGCTGAATCCAGGAGCCAGAAGCTTCATCCTGGTCTCCCATGTGGTTGCAGGGGCCCAAGAACTTGAACCCATCTTCTGCTGCTTTCCCAGGCACATTACTAGGGAGCTGAATTGGAAGTGAAGCAGCCGTGACTCAAACCCATGCCCATACGGGATGCAGATGCTGCAGGGGCTGCTGACTCACTGTACCACAGTGACCGCCCTCGTTCATGGTTTTCTTAATGTTCCTTTTTTATGAAAGTTTTTGAAGACTTTCTATATGAATAGATGTCAAATCTTTTGACACCAATATAAACTTATTTTTCATTCCATTTTTCATGAACTTTCTAATGGATTCACAGACACACACACATGCACACACACCATTTTATCAGTTATGTTTCCTGATAACACAGGGGTTACTTCAAATTCAGCCACATTAAGCTTATTTTCAATGTGTTTTGTGTTGTCTAAGTCTCCTTCTACAATGCACACCTTCATTTAGGTATCTCTTCAACCACTGGTTATTGGTCATGGGACCTTCCTTCATCCTTAATTTGTTCTGCCTGCTGATATATTTATTTCTTGTATGTGCTTCACTTAAACCTCATCAAAACTGTGTCCTTCCCCTGCCCTGTGATTATCCAGTAAGATTTTGCTTTCTTTTTTTTTTAAATTTATTTTATTTATTTGAAAGAGAGTTACAGAGAGAGGTAGAGACAGAGAGAGAGGTCTTTATTTTTTTTTAAACTTTTATTTAATGAATATAAATTTCAAAAGTACAGCTTATGGATTACAATGGCTTCCCCTCCCATAACATCCCTCCCACCCGCAACCCTCCCCTTTCCCACTGCCTCTCCCCTTCCATTCACATCAATATTCATTTTAGATTCTCTTTATATACAGAAGATCAGTTTAGCATACATTAAGTAAAGATTTCACTGGTTTACTTCCAGCCGCTGGTTCACTCCCCAGATGAACGCAACTACCGGAGCTGTGCCTACTTGGGATGCCAGCGCTTTAGGCCAGGGCTTTAACCCTCTGCGTCACAACGCCGGCACCAAGAGTTTTGCTTTCAACCCAACCTATTGAGTTCCAATTAGAATTCACAGAGTGGTCACAAACCAGTAACTGGAGTTAAAGCCACATCATAGATATGTCTTGTTTTGTTGCAACATTTCATTCTGCAAATAAATTTTTCTTTATAATTAATTATGAGTTTGAAAAATCAAGAAAATTCATATTAAATATGGATTCCAAGCTTTTTTGAACAATGGGAAAGTGTGGTATCCAAGCATTCTATGGGAACAACTGGCCGAGGCTGAGTGGAGCTGGCCCATTTTAGGGAGAGCACATGCTTTAGAACTCATCTAAGCCTGCCACGTTTCCCTTAGCGCAACCAGTCTGCTGAGGTTCATCGTTCATCTCCCTGAGCATCTGAGTTTAGGGTGTGCCTCAGCAATTGTCTCTGTGAGGTCTTTAAGAAAATTCTCCTAAATCCTGAAAACTGTATTACGTTATCAAAATATGCATGAAGTCTAGAATGCAAAAGCAATAGCACTCACTAGAAGTTGCTGTTTCTGCTTTATTTTTGTTAAAAAAAAACTTGAATATATACATATATGCACCTGAACAATTTCATTATATTACGTTATAAGTCCTCTGCATTTATTTTTATGTTATTTACGCTATTTCACATGCAAGATTACTGCATTTTTTCATGTTGTCTTAGAATTACATGAAGAATTAGCTTTGGAATACAGTGATAAGC